TCTTTCTTTCCTCCTTTCTCTCTTTCTCTCTTTCTTGCTCGTGTTTTTTCTTTCTTTCTTTCTTTCTTTCTCTTTCTTTCTTTCTTTCTTTCTTTCTTTCCTCCTTTCTCTCTTTCTCTTTCCTTTCCTTTCCTTTCCTTTCCTTCTGTCTCTTATACACATCTAGATGTGTATAAGAGACAGCACCACTAGCAACGGGGATTGGATTAAGATCCTGAATCTGGGCGTGTTTTAAGCAGAGATGCAGAAAAGGAGTTCAATCTGAATTTTCTGCACTTGTCCACCAAGGCACCCAGATTCAGGCCTTCAATGATATTCAATCCAATCCTCTTTGCTAGTGGGACCTCTCCCCAGGGGCTCTGACCGATTATCTTGTAAAACGTTGTGTGGCCCTCTTCTCTTATTCAAAAACACATAAACAATGCTATTTTTCATTTACATGAATGCAAAGAAAAGGACCCAAACAAATATAAAAAATCAGGCTGACATACACATCATGACAGCCCAGCCTGTTCATCCCTCGTTCTCAAGCCTTACCTTCTTCCCTGGAATACGATGTCAGGTCATTATAATAGCTGTATGTGAGGCATCTTGCAGTCTGGATACCGCTATAATGACCAACGCAAAGTGGCCAACTAAATGCCCAACTAATAAATTTAAAAATATCCTAGTGGCCTCTGGGCAGCTGCCTCCATGAAAACAAAAACAATATTACGAAAATAAAAAATAAAAAAAATAGACACTAGCAGGTGATATGGAAAGCAATCAAAGACTGGCGTTTGTGTGATAGAAAACCACAGAGCACAAGCGTACATCGGACCTAGTCGGTCCGAGCCCCAGAACAGATACTACACTTTTCTTTTTTAAACTTTTTGTTTGGATGTTGATTTTTTTTTGGGAAAATTTGCGAAACACACCTGAAATTTCCGTTAATTGGCGATTTGCCCTCGGACGGCCGATTTTTTCTGAATTGCCCCTCTAACAACGCTCAAGTTTCCAGAAAACCCCCGGCGTCACTTGGGCCTCGAATATTTTCAATATGCCGCTACCGGTACCGCTGCCAACTTTTCAATATGCCCCTACCTGTTGGCCGTTGAGGACCTGCACTAGAATTTGCTATATGCCCCTACCGGTACCATG